GAAGATTGACTTAAATTTTGAATACGACATCATATGATCTCATTTCGAGTTGCAATGGGTTCCCTATGCAAAAATACACAATTCTCGTTCACGACTCAAGTCCAAATTATGAATAGAAAAAAACATACAACTCTTCAGTGTTTTCCGGCTTACTAAATCAACCGAGTCACGAAGATTGGCTTAAATTTTGAATACGACATCGTATGATCTCATTTCGAGTTGCAATGGGTTTTCTATGCAAAAATACACAATTCTCGTTCACGACTCAAGTCCAAATTATGAATAGAAAAAAACATACAACTCTTCAGTGTTTTCCGGCTTACTAAATCAACCAAGTCACGAAGATTGGCTTAAATTTTGAATGCGACATCGTATGATCTCATTTCGAGTTGCAATGGGTTCCCTATGCAAAAATACACAATTCTCGTTCACGACTCAAGTCCAAATTATGAATAGAAAAAAACATACAACTCTTCAGTGTTTTCAGGCTTACTAAATAAACCGAGTTACGAAGATTGACTTAAATTTTGAATACGACATCATATGATCTCATTTCGAGTTGCAATGGGTTCCCTATGCAAAAATACACAATTCTCGTTCACGACTCAAGTCCAAATTATGAATAGAAAAAAACATACAACTCTTCAGTGTTTTCCGGCTTACTAAATCAACCGAGTCACGAAGATTGGCTTAAATTTTGAATACGACATCGTATGATCTCATTTCGAGTTGCAATGGGTTTTCTATGCAAAAAAACACAATTCTCGTTCACGACTCAAGTCCAAATTATGAATAGAAAAAAACATACAACTCTTCAGTGTTTTCAGGCTTACTAAATAAACCGAGTTACGAAGATTGACTTAAATTTTGAATACGACATCATATGATCTCATTTCGAGTTGCAATGGGTTCCCTATGCAAAAATACACAATTCTCGTTCACGACTCAAGTCCAAATTATGAATAGAAAAAAACATACAACTCTTCAGTGTTTTCCGGTTTACTAAATCAACCGAGTCACGAAGATTGGCTTAAATTTTGAATACGACATCGTATGATCTCATTTCGAGTTGCAATGGGTTTTCTATGCAAAAATACACAATTCTCGTTCACGACTCAAGTCCAAATTATGAATAGAAAAAAACATACAACTCTTCAGTGTTTTCAGGCTTACTAAATCAACCGAGTCACGAAGATTGGCTTAAATTTTGAATACGACATCGTATGATCTCATTTCGAGTTGCAATGGGTTCCCTATGCAAAAATACACAATTCTCGTTCACGACTCAAGTCCAAATTATGAATAGAAAAAAACATACAACTCTTCAGTGTTTTCAGGCTTACTAAATCAACCGAGTCACGAAGATTGGCTTAAATTTTGAATGCGACATCGTATGATCTCATTTCGAGTTGCAATGGGTTCCCTATGCAAAAATACACAATTCTCGTTCACGACTCAAGTCCAAATTATGAATAGAAAAAAACATACAACTCTTCAGTGTTTTCAGGCTTACTAAATAAACCGAGTTACGAAGATTGACTTAAATTTTGAATACGACATCATATGATCTCATTTCGAGTTGCAATGGGTTCCCTATGCAAAAATACACAATTCTCGTTCACGACTCAAGTCCAAATTATGAATAGAAAAAAACATACAACTCTTCAGTGTTTTCCGGCTTACTAAATCAACTGAGTCACGAAGATTGGCTTAAATTTTGAATGCGACATCGTATGATCTCATTTCGAGTTGCAATGGGTTCAATATGCAAAAATACACAATTCTCGTTCACGACTCAAGTCCAAATTATGAATAGAAAAAAAAATACAACTCTTCAGTGTTTTCAGGCTTACTAAATAAACCGAGTTACGAAGATTGACTTAAATTTTGAATACGACATCATATGATCTCATTTCGAGTTGCAATGGGTTCCCTATGCAAAAATACACAATTCTCGTTCACGACTCAAGTCCAAATTATGAATAGAAAAAAACATATAACTCTTCAGTGTTTTCCGGCTTACTAAATCAACCGAGTCACGAAGATTGGCTTAAATTTTGAATACGACATCGTATGATCTCATTTCGAGTTGCAATGGGTTTTCTATGCAAAAATACACAATTCTCGTTCACGACTCAAGTCCAAATTATGAATAGAAAAAAACATACAACTCTTCAGTGTTTTCAGGCTTACTAAATCAACCGAGTCACGAAGATTGGCTTAAATTTTGAATACGACATCGTATGATCTCATTTCGAGTTGCAATGGGTTCCCTATGCAAAAATACACAATTCTCGTTCACGACTCAAGTCCAAATTATGAATAGAAAAAAACATACAACTCTTCAGTGTTTTCAGGCTTACTAAATCAACCGAGTCACGAAGATTGGCTTAAATTTTGAATGCGACATCGTATGATCTCATTTCGAGTTGCAATGGGTTCCCTATGCAAAAATACACAATTCTCGTTCACGACTCAAGTCCAAATTATGAATAGAAAAAAACATACAACTCTTCAGTGTTTTCAGGCTTACTAAATAAACCGAGTTACGAAGATTGACTTAAATTTTGAATACGACATCATATGATCTCATTTCGAGTTGCAATGGGTTCCCTATGCAAAAATACACAATTCTCGTTCACGACTCAAGTCCAAATTATGAATAGAAAAAAACATACAACTCTTCAGTGTTTTCCGGCTTACTAAATCAACTGAGTCACGAAGATTGGCTTAAATTTTGAATGCGACATCGTATGATCTCATTTCGAGTTGCAATGGGTTCAATATGCAAAAATACACAATTCTCGTTCACGACTCAAGTCCAAATTATGAATAGAAAAAAAAATACAACTCTTCAGTGTTTTCAGGCTTACTAAATAAACCGAGTTACGAAGATTGACTTAAATTTTGAATACGACATCATATGATCTCATTTCGAGTTGCAATGGGTTCCCTATGCAAAAATACACAATTCTCGTTCACGACTCAAGTCCAAATTATGAATAGAAAAAAACATATAACTCTTCAGTGTTTTCCGGCTTACTAAATCAACCGAGTCACGAAGATTGGCTTAAATTTTGAATACGACATCGTATGATCTCATTTCGAGTTGCAATGGGTTTTCTATGCAAAAATACACAATTCTCGTTCACGACCCAAGTCCAAATTATGAATAGAAAAAAACATACAACTCTTCAGTGTTTTCAGGCTTACTAAATCAACCGAGTCACGAAGATTGTCTTAAATTTTGAATACCACATCGTATGATCTCATTTCGAGTCGCAATGGGTTCCCTATGCAAAAATACACAATTCTCGTTCACGACTCAAGTCCAAATTATGAATAGAAAAAAACATACAACTCTTCAGTGTTTTCAGGCTTACTAAATCAACCGAGTCACGAAGATTGGCTTAAATTTTGAATGAGACATCGTATGATCTCATTTCGAGTTGCAATGGGTTCCCTATGCAAAAATACACAATTCTCGTTCACGACTCAAGTCCAAATTATGAATAGAAAAAAACATACAACTCTTCAGTGTTTTCAGGCTTACTAAATAAACCGAGTTACGAAGATTGACTTAAATTTTGAATACGACATCATATGATCTCATTTCGAGTTGCAATGGGTTCCCTATGCAAAAATACACAATTCTCGTTCACGACTCAAATCCAAATTATGAATAGAAAAAAACATACAACTCTTCAGTGTTTTCAGGCTTACTAAATCAACCGAGTCACGAAGATTGGCTTAAATTTTGAATACGACATCGTATGATCTCATTTCGAGTTGCAATGGGTTCCCTATGCAAAAATACACAATTCTCGTTCACGACTCAAGTCCAAATTATGAATAGAAAAAAACATACAACTCTTCAGTGTTTTCAGGCTTACTAAATAAACCGAGTTACGAAGATTGACTTAAATTTTGAATACGACATCATATGATCTCATTTCGAGTTGCAATGGGTTCCCTATGCAAAAATACATAATTCTCGTTCACGACTCAAGTCCAAATTATGAATAGAAAAAAACATACAACTCTTCAGTGTTTTCCGGCTTACTAAATCAACCGAGTCACGAAGATTGGCTTAAATTTTGAATGCGACATCGTATGATCTCATTTCGAGTTGCAATGGGTTCCCTATGCAAAAATACACAATTCTCGCTCACGACTCAAGTCCAAATTATGAATAGAAAAAAACATACAACTCTTCAGTGTTTTCAGGCTTACTAAATAAACCGAGTTACGAAGATTGACTTAAATTTTTAATACGACATCATATGATCTCATTTCGAGTTGCAATGGGTTCCCTATGCAAAAATACACAATTCTCGTTCACGACTCAAGTCCAAATTATGAATAGAAAAAAACATACAACTCTTCAGTGTTTTCCGGCTTACTAAATCAACCGAGTCACGAAGATTGGCTTAAATTTTGAATACGACATCGTATGATCTCATTTCGAGTTGCAATGGGTTTTCTATGCAAAAATACACAATTCTCGTTCACGACTCAAGTCCAAATTATGAATAGAAAAAAACATACAACTCTTCAGTGTTTTCCGGCTTACTAAATCAACCGAGTCACGAAGATTGGCTTAAATTTTGAATACGACATCGTATGATCTCATTTCGAGTTGCAATGGATTCCCTATGCAAAAATACACAATTCTCGTTCACGACTCAAGTCCAAATTATGAATAGAAAAAAACATACAACTCTTCAGTGTTTTCAGGCTTACTAAATAAACCGAGTTACGAAGATTGACTTAAATTTTGAATACGACATCATATGATCTCATTTCGAGTTGCAATGGGTTCCCTATGCAAAAATACATAATTCTCGTTCACGACTCAAGTCCAAATTATGAATAGAAAAAAACATACAACTCTTCAGTGTTTTCCGGCTTACTAAATCAACCGAGTCACGAAGATTGGCTTAAATTTTGAATGCGACATCGTATGATCTCATTTCGAGTTGCAATGGGTTATTGGGTTAGGAGTTGAGAGCTGAACTCTCCTGGGAACGAATTGCGACCCAGTTCTTCTTCCACGCTCAAGGCATCGATGGATCCCCATGGTCGAAAGATGATGCTGTTTTACTGATTCGAAGTAGTTTAACACTTATTAAACTGAAATCCGTCCTTGGATTTCAGTTTGGAAGAGACATTTCTGGTCGTGAAAACCTAAATTGCGAAGCTACTGTTCTTCGTCGCCAGGAAGTTTGAAAACCGAGGCTCTAATTCAGACCCTCCAGAGTGGGTCGCTGGGAAGATTCATTCTTGGATTTCCGCGAACGATAAGAGCTTCGTTCATACCTGAGATTGAAATCCGCGCCTGGTTGGATGCTCTGGTTCAAGCGCGAACGATAAGAGCTTCGTTCATAGAAATCCGAGGCCTTAGACTTTCGTTGCAGACCTTCCACTGTGGGTCGCCGGGAAGAGGAGGTAAGCTGAAGTGGGTTTCTTACCTGCGACTGCAGGTCTGCGATAGAGCACTGCTATTACCTGCGAAGATGTGGTAACCGATGCTCTGTATTAGCGATATTGTTTTTGCTATTTACAGTCGATTTTGGAGTTTCACAGGTCCAGTAGAGATCTCAGACCTGGTTTGGGGTTCCTACCTGCGCACCTGGAGGTTTCAAACCTAATTTCTGGATTCATTTGACTGTTGGTTTGGTTGTTCGATTGATACGCATAATCTGTTATTTGTTTCTGGAATTCAAGTTTCTTTTGGGTTACTCAAGTTGTGCCCACACAGTTTGTTGCTCGTTGTTGTTCACCTTTCACCCGGTTTTGTAGTCCGGCCATGGCCAGGAAGAAGAACCAAGGACCTGCTGAACTCTCAGCTGCGCGAGTTACCAGAACTTCCTTTGGTGCTTTGGTGAATACAGATGAGGAATTCCCTGCATTAAACTCTGGTTGTCCACTGAAGAAGACAGGGAAGACAGTCACTCCTCCGGCAGAATTGAGGGAACAAACTGATTCCTCCTTGGGTGTACAAACTGCAGGTGCTGAAACTGCTATTGCTGGGAATCTTGACAGTAACTCTGGGACTACTATTAAGAAGCCATGGAGTACACTCTTCAAGGATAATCGAGCTCCATCTCATGGGATCAAACTGAAATTTGTCCCTCCTAAGGGTAATTCTCTGGACTTCTCTGACAGAGTTATGCCATCCATGGTGGAGATGTGGGGGTACTGTCTCGTGGGCTGTTTCACGGGTCGTTTCCCCGGCCTAAAAGCTATCCATGAACTGAAATTCAAGTGGGGTGTAAAATGCCAGATCAAGTCACATGATAAAGGTTGGGTGATTTTTAAATTCCAAACGGATGAAGACAGAATGAAGGTACTAAATGAGGGACCTTACACCATCTTTGGCAAGCTACTCATGTTGAAGGTTTTATCGGATGATTTCACGTTTGACGATGAAGAGTTCCTTAAAGTGCCGATTTGGGTGAAATTCCCACAGCTACCGATGAAACTATGGAATAAAGATGCCATGAGTGAAGTTGCCTCTATGGTAGGGGTGCCACTAACTACGGACTTGATCACCCAAGAAAGGAGCAATCATAACTTTGCTAGGGTGCTTATTGAAGTTGATGTGTCGAAACCGCCCCCACTTTCATTTCCTATTCGATTACCTTCACATAAGGTAATCAAACAATTGGTGGTATATGAAACCTTCCCAAATTTTTGCTTTCATTGCAAAAAATATGGGCACCACCCATTTATTTGTAAGGAACTAGCTGAAAAGGAACTAAAGGATAAAAATGAGAAAGAAAAGAAAAATGATGTTGGTATTCTAAAAGGTGCTGCACAGGACACTCTGAAGGACATTGCTACCCGAGTGGAGAAGAGTATGGAGATAGAAGAGGGCAAACTGCCTGATGCACAACTTGAGGAGGGAAAGATCTTGGAAGAACCTGGGCAGCCAACGCTTGATAGTGCCACGGTGGTAGAGGCAGCCTATGTGGGGGTGGCTGCTACTTCGGTTGGTGACTCGGTTACGGAAGAGAATTGTGATATTACTGATTCTGAAGACCAATATGAAACTGAAGAGGAACAGGATCAGGAACACCATTTCAAGAAAACCACCAAAAAAAGTAGGCGGAGAAAGGGTGAGACAGATGAGAAATATAAAAGACGGCTTGGAAGAATGATTGGAAGAAAGATAAAATAGTTCTTGGAAGGGGAAACTACGGATTCCTTAGATGGACTGGACTTTTTAATTAGTGATTTGTGAAGTGGGGTTTGTCCCATTATCTTGATGCATTATATCTAGGTTAGTTTATTCTAGCTTAGATAGTCATTTTGATTTGGATTGATGCATTGTAAAATGCTATTTTTTTCGGTTTCTAATATACTTACATATTATCGTCGAGTTGCAATGGGTTCCCTATGCAAAAATACACAATTCTCGCTCACGACTCAAGTCCAAATTATGAATAGAAAAAAACATACAACTCTTCAGTGTTTTCAGGCTTACTAAATAAACCGAGTTACGAAGATTGACTTAAATTTTTAATACGACATCATATGATCTCATTTCGAGTTGCAATGGGTTCCCTATGCAAAAATACACAATTCTCGTTCACGACTCAAGTCCAAATTATGAATAGAAAAAAACATACAACTCTTCAGTGTTTTCCGGCTTACTAAATCAACCGAGTCACGAAGATTGGCTTAAATTTTGAATACGACATCGTATGATCTCATTTCGAGTTGCAATGGGTTTTCTATGCAAAAATACACAATTCTCGTTCACGACTCAAGTCCAAATTATGAATAGAAAAAAACATACAACTCTTCAGTGTTTTCAGGCTTACTAAATCAACCGAGTCACGAAGATTGGCTTAAATTTTGAATACGACATCGTATGATCTCATTTCGAGTTGCAATGGGTTTTCTATGCAAAAAAACACAATTCTCGTTCACGACTCAAGTCCAAATTATGAATAGAAAAAAACATACAACTCTTCAGTGTTTTCAGGCTTACTAAATAAACCGAGTTACGAAGATTGACTTAAATTTTGAATACGACATCATATGATCTCATTTCGAGTTGCAATGGGTTCCCTATGCAAAAATACACAATTCTCGTTCACGACTCAAGTCCAAATTATGAATAGAAAAAAACATACAACTCTTCAGTGTTTTCCGGCTTACTAAATCAACCGAGTCACGAAGATTGGCTTAAATTTTGAATACGACTTCGTATGATCTCATTTCGAGTTGCAATGGGTTTTCTATGCAAAAATACACAATTCTCGTTCACGACTCAAGTCCAAATTATGAATAGAAAAAAACATCCAACTCTTCAGTGTTTTCCGGCTTACTAAATCAACCGAGTCACGAAGATTGGCTTAAATTTTGAATACGACATCGTATGATCTCATTTCGAGTTGCAATGGGTTTTCTATGCAAAAAAACACAATTCTCGTTCACGACTCAAGTCCAAATTATGAATAGAAAAAAACATACAACTCTTCAGTGTTTTCAGGCTTACTAAATAAACCGAGTTACGAAGATTGACTTAAATTTTGAATACGACATCATATGATCTCATTTCGAGTTGCAATGGGTTCCCTATGCAAAAATACACAATTCTCGTTCACGACTCAAGTCCAAATTATGAATAGAAAAAAACATACAACTCTTCAGTGTTTTCCGGCTTACTAAATCAACCGAGTCACGAAGATTGGCTTAAATTTTGAATACGACATCGTATGATCTCATTTCGAGTTGCAATGGGTTTTCTATGCAAAAATACACAATTCTCGTTCACGACTCAAGTCCAAATTATGAATAGAAAAAAACATCCAACTCTTCCGTGTTTTCAGGCTTACTAAATCAACCGAGTCACGAAGATTGGCTTAAATTTTGAATACGACATCGTATGATCTCATTTCGAGTTGCAATGGGTTCCCTATGCAAAAATACACAATTCTCGTTCACGACTCAAGTCCAAATTATGAATAGAAAAAAACATACAACTCTTCAGTGTTTTCAGGCTTACTAAATCAACCGAGTCACGAAGATTGGCTTAAATTTTGAATGCGACATCGTATGATCTCATTTCGAGTTGCAATGGGTTCCCTATGCAAAAATACACAATTCTCGTTCACGACTCAAGTCCAAATTATGAATAGAAAAAAACATACAACTCTTCAGTGTTTTCAGGCTTACTAAATCAACCGAGTCACGAAGATTGGCTTAAATTTTGAATACGACATCGTATGATCTCATTTCGAGTTGCAATGGGTTTTCTATGCAAAAGTACACAATTCTCGTCACGATTCAAGTCCAAATTATGAATAGAAAAAAACATACAACTCTTTAGTGTTTTCGGGCTTACTAAATCAACCGAGTCACGAAGATTGGCTTAAATTTTGAATGCGACATCGTATGATCTCATTTCGAGTTGCAATGGGTTCCCTATGCAAAAATACACAATTCTCGTTCACGACTTAAGTCCAAATTATGAATAGAAAAAAACATACAACTCTTCAGTGTTTTCAGGCTTACTAAATAAACCGAGTTACGAAGATTGACTTAAATTTTGAATACGACATCATATGATCTCATTTCGAGTTGCAATGGGTTCCCTATGCAAAAATACACAATTCTCGTTCACGACTCAAGTCCAAATTATGAATAGAAAAAAACATACAACTCTTCAGTGTTTTCCGGCTTACTAAATCAACTGAGTCACGAAGATTGGCTTAAATTTTGAATGCGACATCGTATGATCTCATTTCGAGTTGCAATGGGTTCCCTATGCAAAAATACACAATTCTCGTTCACGACTCAAGTCCAAATTATGAATAGAAAAAAAAATACAACTCTTCAGTGTTTTCAGGCTTACTAAATAAACCGAGTTACGAAGATTGACTTAAATTTTGAATACGACATCATATGATCTCATTTCGAGTTGCAATGGGTTCCCTATGCAAAAATACACAATTCTCGTTCACGACTCAAGTCCAAATTATGAATAGAAAAAAACATATAACTCTTCAGTGTTTTCCGGCTTACTAAATCAACCGAGTCACGAAGATTGGCTTAAATTTTGAATACGACATCGTATGATCTCATTTCGAGTTGCAATGGGTTTTCTATGCAAAAATACACAATTCTCGTTCACGACTCAAGTCCAAATTATGAATAGAAAAAAACATACAACTCTTCAGTGTTTTCAGGCTTACTAAATCAACCGAGTCACGGAGATTGTCTTAAATTTTGAATACCACATCGTATGATCTCATTTCGAGTTGCAATGGGTTCCCTATGCAAAAATACACAATTCTCGTTCACGACTCAAGTCCAAATTATGAATAGAAAAAAACATACAACTCTTCAGTGTTTTCAGGCTTACTAAATCAACCGAGTCACGAAGATTGGCTTAAATTTTGAATGCGACATCGTATGATCTCATTTCGAGTTGCAATGGGTTCCCTATGCAAAAATACACAATTCTCGTTCACGACTCAAGTCCAAATTATGAATAGAAAAAAACATACAACTCTTCAGTGTTTTCAGGCTTACTAAATAAACCGAGTTACGAAGATTGACTTAAATTTTGAATACGACATCATATGATCTCATTTCGAGTTGCAATTCAATTCTACATGAGGTTGGTTGAGGTTGGCATAGTCCCCAACTCAGTACCCTCGAGTTGGTTGAGGTTGGCATAGTCCCCATGCACACAATCACCTCATCATGTCTACCCAATGCAATTCTATGAGCACGGGCTCAAGTACATCTCCTTACATTGGCATAGACCCCAATTCCTAAGCACTCACTAGGCCTAGAATTGTAATATCAATAATCTATCTTGGGACATCCCTACGGACTGCCCAACCATGGTCTTAGCATCACATTACATCAATTTAGTCACTTGCATCACAATCAAGTTCATCAATTACAATCAAATCCTTAGATTCAATTCTTCAACAATTTCAACAATCATTAACTAGTATTTCAATACTATTAAGATTATTCTTATCAATCATATATTCCATTTGTAAAACCCTACATATTTAGAGATATGTAGCAGCAACTTAATCATTCAATGTAATACATAAATAATCATTTATGTATCTACACAATTCACACATGAGTAAAATGCCTATTTCACACAATAGTTCATTTAGCTCCATTTTCATCAATACTTTACCAAATCATTTCTTATTTCATTCTTTGGAAAATAGATCAATATTCCATCAATAGGTTATCATCATAATCCATGGAAAACATTATTTAAGCATTTAGGTAATCTCATGCTTAACCTACAAGTTGTAAGCAACTAGATGTCGATCCTCACCTCAAATGAGCTTTAAAACCTTCCTTCTCGATCCAATGGCTAAAGCCTCGGCCAAGGAAGATTGGGAACTAGTTCCTTGCTTGAAAATGGGTGCTAAACAGCCTCCTCAAGTTGCTATTTCAACCCCGAATCGTTGATACTAAAACAGCCCCTAGAACGGGTGTTTTCCGGCTAACTCGATTCCTAGTTTTCCAATGTTTGCATCTAGGTTAGTATCTAACCTTTACATCAATAAAATAACTTAATAGGGATGTTTTATACACTTGGAGTAGTGTATAATAGTCCCACCAATCGTTCATATCATTTGGAAAATGAATGGAAAGGTTTTGGGATTAACAACTCACTTAGAAGAGTAAATCCGTCCCTGCGAGGTCTCGTTCTGCTCGGACGATTTGGAAGCCTTCCTCTACTCCGATTGATGCAAACCAGACCTTCACGGATTCCTCGTCTTGAGAGCTTTCTTTTGGTATCTCACACGCCTTAATTGGATTGGTAAAACTCGAGATATCGGCCAAACAGTCTCCGCACTCTCACAGCTCGAGTTCACAGACCTCTGCTCGTTCCAGATCGATTTTTGGATGATTGACTTCTCCTCTCGAACTGTGGCCACTCAAATATGAAAATAGACTTCAAAAGCTATCCAAAGACACCTTATACACGTTGTTTGGTCGAGTATAACTCCCATAATGAGTGGAGACAAACAGCACACCATTTTGTGCGGAAATTGACAAGGTGGGTCTCAAGGTTGATTCCAATCAAGTCTTGTGCAGCCCTCCTCCAGCTGGTGCTGCCAAGGTAAGTCTCCTCACTTAATTTTCTTGTGTTGTAGGTACTCTAATCATGTGGAGTGGTTCCCAATTGATCCCAATTAATTTGGGATCCAAATTATCTACCAATACTTCCAAAAATGGGGAAAATGGGTCCTATTGTTTTATCTTTGTCAAAAGATGTCTTTTTGTACTCATCCTAATTTATTTAGAACAAGTCAACTTCCTAAATCACATTATTGATCTCCAATATGTGTAGGCTCATCCCAATAATTTACATTATGAAAATTACAAACGA